TCAGAGGAGGAAGAAGCTGGCTAGAGCTGTCTGCTGGGGCAAGAATTCAAGGGGCAGCAGGAGGTCTGGGGTGGACTGCCAGGGGTAGGAGCTGAGAGGTAGAAGGAGCAGAGCCACAGGGATTGTTGAATGTCAGGACCCCCAAGGACTGCAGACCTGTTCCCACCCAGGGGCCTAGGGCATGGCTGAGGGCCATCTTCACACACTCTCACCTCTTCCTGGCCCTCTTCTCCTGGAAGCTGCCTCTGTTTACCCTCTCTCACTCTAGCCCCCCACTCCTCACCCCCTGCACATGTGCGCGCGCGTGTACACACACACACACACACACACACACACACACACACATCCCAGCCAGCCAGCCAGGCTGGGTCTGGACCCTTCTCTGGGCTCTCCCTACTGTCAGGCTTCCTGCCACCTCAGCATCAACTCCTCTAGCCTGTCCCTACCCTGGATGTGTTCATCTCTGGCTGACAGTATAAGAACGGGATGGAGCTGAGTAACCAGGAAGTGCAGGTTTATTGAGGGAAATACCTGCCGGGCTACCTCCAAGTAGAGCGCAGCAGCCAGTTCATACAGACTAAGGGTTTTTAAACTTAGGGCTGGGGCGGGGGTTTGCCCCGAGGAGTCGAGGAGTCGCAGTCGTCTTTGGTTGGTCGTCTTAGATTGGTGGGGCTGGGGTCTTTCTGAGAGTTGTTCTCCTCCAGCCGCTGTTTAGGTTTGGGTGGGGGTCTCAGGATACTGTTCCGCCTGGCCGGAGCGATAAGCTTTGGTTTCCTGGAATAAGAGGCTTGGGGGGAATTTAAACAATAAGAGGCTGGGGGTAGTAATATGGAAGTTAAAGTTAACAGACAGCAAGGCCTTTGTGATCTTGTTTGGTTGTATCCCAATACCTGGCACCATGCTCATAAACAGTAGACACTCACTATGTGTTTGTGGGAGGCAACTTTGTTGGGGGAACATTAAGTTGATAGGAGCTATTGGCTCAGGGGCACTGGGACTGGATGATAGTCGTCCTTCTGCCTGTGTCTTTATAATGCTTTCTCTCTGCTTTATACCCAACCCTGGCCTGACTTTCCCTTTACAACCAACTAAATAAATCTTTATCCTCATTGAAAACTTTCCTCGGGGTGGTGCTCTGAAGAATTGGAAATGCTCCCAGCCCAAGTTTATGCCAAAGAAGCCACTGGGAGAGATTTCTAGAGGCTGGGCCAGACCCCTATTGGAAATGCAACCCCAGCCTATGCGGATGCGTGCTTTCTGCCTACTGTGCTGTCCCTTTTTTCTCTGCTGGCTGAATACCTCCTCCTCTTCCCTGACTCAAAGCTTGCCCCGCCCCCCTTTTCTTAGTCTTTTTGACTGTGTTAGAGTTTCTTTTGGAATCTAATACCTTGTGAGTCCTTCATCCCAGCATCATCAAAACAGGATTTTTAATCATCTGAGTTTATGTCTATCTTTTTTACTAGGCTGGGCACTCTTCCAAGGCAAGGACACAGTCTGACTCAGTGTACCTGGCACACATTAGGTATTCATTCCACGTTTTTGAACAGAGTTGCTGATTGGTTGAACCAGGCTAGTAGGAGTGACAGCGGTGATGTACAAAGGGTCTCGAGATGTGGTAGGTGTGAGTGTTGGGGATGGGGACACAAAGTAGAGAAATGGAGAGAGGGAAGGGCATGCCAGAAAGAGGACACAAGATGGGCAAAGGTGCGGTGGCAGGAAATAGCTGGGACATGCAGGGCTCCTGTGCAGTTTGGTTGTACCAGAGCCTAAAGCTTCAGGCTCAGAATGGTGAGTGATTAGGCTGGAGACACCCACAGGGTCTGGGTTTTGAAGGGTGTTAATGCCAGGTGAGGGGTGTAGATGTTCTCCTGAAGCCTTTGGAGCTGGAAAGGGTTGGAGCAGTGGAAGGGACAGGATCCGATCCTGTGTTTAAAAAGCTCAGTCCGGCCCTGGCCGGTTTGGTTCAGCGGTTAGAGCATCGGCCTGCGGTCCTGAGAGACCTGGGTTCGGTTCCCGCTAAGGGCATGTACCTCGGTTGCAGTTTGTCCCCGGCCCTGGTCGGTTGTGCGGGTGGCAGCCACTCGATATGTCCCTTTCACGTCGATATTTCTCTCTCTCTCTCTCTCTGTTCCTCTCTCTCCCTCCCACTCTACCTGAACAAAAAAAAAAAAAAGCTCAGTCCGGCTGTGCAATGATCAGGGAGGAGGTGGTGACGAGGACCTGAATAGGGTGGAGACGCAGACCTGGAGAGCAGGGTACAGATTTGAGTGATGTTTCAGAGTGATGTTTGATTGGTGTTGGATGTTGGACTAGGAGGGAGGACAGGATAACACCCAGGACTCTGGCTCACAAAGCTGAGATTGGGGAGTGGGCTTGGGGAGCAGCTCTGGTCCACGTTGGGCCTCTTGAGTGGGAGGGAGGTGAGACAGTGGGGAGATGTCGAGGCCACAGCATTTGGGGTCTGGAGAAAGGTCTGAACTTGAGAAGGAGTGAGTAAGTGGCCAGCAAGGAGGGAACACTGAGGCCGTAAAGTGGATAGAAACCCCAGGAAAAGTATAATTTACTCCAGGCTTACTACTCCTCTGATAAATTGTTGGTGTTGTTGAAATATAAATATTTATTTTTAAAATAAATATATTTAAACATTTAAAATTTGGATTCAGAAACATTTCAAATAAAGAACAATAACAGACATGATATAGTAATCAATTAAGTGCTGCTTTTTTCCAAATATACTTAAATGATTATCCAAAAACCCTCCCTATCCTCCCTCTGCTACCTCCATCCCACTCCCCGTAGAGTAACTGGTGTTTACTCCAAAGGGAATGTGCTGTTGTTTGCTGTGAAGTGAGTGGTATAAACCCTCCCTGCCCATGCCTGCAGAGATTCCCATCAGTTGTTCACTGCTCACTGGTATGTTTCATAGAGTGAGCTCTTTTGTGGAAACAAAGAAAGGGTCTTGGGCCTCTGTCATTGAGAGTTCACCTGGAAATTCCCTGGAGGCAGAGAAGATGGGACAAGCTGACATATAGATTCACAATCACCCTGAGAGGGATGTGCTTCTTTTCCCATTTTATGAAAATGGAAGATGAATCTCAGAGGATGACTTGCCTAGGGCCATATAGCTGATAAGTGGTTGAGCTAGGATTGGAAGCCAGCTTTACGTGACTCTAAAGCCCAGGTTCTTATCTATATCTATAGGTGAAAACAAAGACCAAATTTGCTTTATATCAGGATCTAGAGAGGGATCTTAGAGTTCTGTGGCCATGTCACCGACAGAGACAGAGACCCCCAGGAGGAACCACCAGCAAGCCCATGGCTGTATAGGGGGGAGTAGAACCCAGGTCTACTGCCCCTGAGTCTGATGTTCTCACCATCAGCAATCACTCAGGGGGAAGGGAGGGTTGAGTGGCGCAAAGGAAGTGGCTGGAGGGCAGGACAGAGACAGGGTTTGAACTTGTGTGCAGTGGGGGCTTTAGAACCTTCCCACTGAGGCTGCATCTAATTCCCCCCACACTTGCCCCTCCAGGTCCCCTGTAACTTGCTTGGTCTCCTGTGAACCTACAGCTGCAGGTCAGAGCAGGTGACCAAACTAGTGTCTTTGCTGCAAGCAAGGGACTGAGTTCTTCGATGAAGAATCGTGTCCTTCATGTTGTCCCCTACATTTTACACTACCCTGTAAAATTTTCCATTAATTCCTCAGAATAAAATGTAGTGGCTGTTAATTTTTGATGCCTGGGAAGTAGTCATCTGAATGCTTTTTTATGCCTGAAAGTATTTTCCACCATTAGGAAAGTATAATAAAAGTTTTCTTTCTTTCTTTCTTTTTTAATTAGGCCAGAGGGTTTCGGCAGCTCTGCTGTCAGGCTGTGGCCAGAAGCTGGGAGCCCAGAAAGTAGCAGAGAAAGGACACAAACACTCTCACTCTTCAAATGCCATCCCTACAGCCAGGCTTCATCTCTCTGAAAACCAGGAGGGATGAGGTCTGGCCCAAATCATAGTAAACACCATATCTTCATTACTTTTCCAGAAAGGCTTTTTGTGAGAGGTTATGTGGTGTGGTAAGAAGTTTCTGCTCTCTGTTTCTTAATTTTTTTTTTTCTTCTTCTTTTTTTTAATCCTCACCCAAGAATATTTTTGCATTGATGTTCAGATAGAGCGGGAGGGAGAGAGAGAGAGAAACATCAATGTGAGAGAGACGCATCAACCGGTTGCCACCCACACGACCCCAACCAGGGCCGGGGACAAACTGCAACTGAGGTACGTGCCCTTAATGGGAACCGAACCCTGGACTCTCTGGTCTGCAGGCCGATGCTCTAACCACCATCCAGGGCTTAATTTTTCTTCTTTAGAGCTTCCTTTAGGATTAAGTTTTTTCTTTTTAATTTTTATTTAATTTATTGGGGTGATATTGGTTAATAAAATTATATTGTATTGTGTATTCACTACCCAAAGTCAAGTCTCTTTCTGGATTAAGTTTTTTTTTTTTTTTTAATTTAGCTAATTTCAACTATTTGCTTGGAAGTTATAAGTATTTTTATTCTGTTTCAGGTATTTTTTGCAACATAATAAACCTGAAATCCCACCTGAGTGGCCTAAAACAATAATTATTATAATTCTTTTGCTTCACATGAGTGGGATAATAAGACAGCTAAAGGGTTTTTAAGAGCCTCACTAATATGACTGGTAATTTGTGCTGGCCACCAGCTGGGAGCTTAGTTGGGGCTGTTGGTTAGGGGCCTTGGCTCTTCTCTACTGAGCCTTTCCACATTACTGCTTGAACTTCCTCTTTTCAAGAAGGAATGTTTTATTAGGTATAGATATATCTTAGGGTCCATCCTTGGACGTTACACAGCTTCACTTCTGCATTCTTTTGTATAAAACAGATCATCAGACCAACCCAGGATCAAGAATGGAAAAATAGACTTCATCAAATAGTGAGAGGAATGTAGAGAATTTGTGGCCATCTTTAATTTTTAATCAGTTTAAACTTTTTTAACCCCTGTCCCTGTGCTTGAGGATGGAGCCAACAGACTAGATTGAAAATTGTCGGCACCCAAGACATGACACTGAAGGGGCTGGAGCCCTTTCCCTCTGCCTCCATATATTACAGGGACCAGGACCACAGGCCTGACCCCTGCCAAGAAGAAGGTTAAACGTTATTTTAGAGGCTACACTTGAATTTCATACTTGTTTAACTTTATAGATTTAAATCTACAGCCAATTAAAAAACATCTCTGAATGCATTGCTTTCCTTCTGAATGTCCTCATCCCATTATTGTTTAGTATTTTAGCTCCATCTTATTCATAAAACTTGATGTTTTAATATTATTTTTATAATAAAAATTTATTTAGATTTTCCATCGTGTTTTATCAAAGCTTTGTTGACCACTGCACCGTGCATTCCATTTCTTACTTGTGCATTCACTTTTCTTCTTTTTTTTTTAAAAAAAAAATGTATTTATTGAGTTTAGAGAGAGAGAGAGAAAGAGAAACATCAATCTTTGTTTCACTTATTTATGCATTTATTGGTAGATTCTTGTATGTGCCCTGACTAGGGTTTGAACCCTCAATCTTGGTGTATGGAGATGACATTCTAACCAACTGAGCTACTCGGCCAGGGCATCATTTTCCTTCTTCTTCTTTTTTTAGAGCACATCTTTTTAAAAGACATATATTTTAATTAATTTTTAGAGTGAGAGTAAGGGAGAAGGAAAAAGAGAGAGAAACATCGATGTAAGAGCAAAACATCAATCCACTACCTCCTACATGCTTCCTACCGGAGATCAAGCCCACAACCCAGGCATGTACCCCCACTGAGAATCAAACCAGCAAGCTTCTGGTGCATGGGATGATGCTCAACCAACTGAGCCACACTGGCCAGGGCCATTTTCCTTCTTGTTTAAGTTCACCCTTTAATAATATTTTCAGTGAGAGCCAATGAGTAGTAACCTTTCTTAATCTTGTATGTCTGGAAGCAGCTTTACTTTCGGCTCACTCTCTAATGACAATTTAGCTAGGTATAGAACTCTAGGATAATAAGAGTTTTTCACTGCATTTGGAAATATTCCATTCTTTTCTGGTTCCTATTGTTGCTAATTAGAACCCTGCCTATTTAGTTGTCAAATTGTTGATTCTTTGAAGGGAATCTTTTTTTTCTTCTTTCTGGCATCTTTAAAGATTTTTTTTCTTTATTGATATTAAAGAGACATAGAAACATCAATGAGAGAGAACATCAATTGGCTGCCTCCTGCATGCCCCCCACTGGGGATCAGGCCCACAACCTGGGCATGTGCTCTGACTGGGAATGGAACCGGCAACCTCTTGTTGCATGGGTCAATGCTCAACCACTGAGCCACACCAGGAGGGCAGATTTTCTTTTATTCTTAATGTTGTTTTACTGCAATAAAGTGTGGATGTGTTTATTTATCTCACTTTGAACTCTATGAGGACTCAGATCTTTCTTCAGATCTGGAAATTCTTTTTTTTTTTTTTTTAATCCTCACCTGAGGACACTTCCATTTTTTGTTCAGGTAGAGTGGGAGGGAGAGAGAGGAACAGACAGAGAGAGAGAAACATTGATGTGAAAGGGACACATCGAATGGCTGCCACCCACACTACCAACCAGGGCCGGGGACAAACTACAACCGAGGTACGTGCCCTTAGCGGGAACCAAACCCGGGTCTCTCTGGACCACAGGCCGATGCTCTAACCGCTGAACAAAACCGGCCAGGGCTGGAAATTCTTATATATTATATTTTCATATATTGCCTTTCCCCTGTTTCTTTATTGTCTCTTATTGGAATTCCTATTAGACGTTTGATGGATTGTCTCATTTCATCCTTCAGCTTAACTTCTCTTTTATATTTCACATCTCTTTATCTCTCTCTGTGTTGTTATATTCTGGGCATGGCCTCAGATAGATCTTCTAGGTAACAGCTATGTCCAGACTACTGTCAAATGCATTTACTGAGTTTATTTTAATTTCAGTTTATCTTGGATGACATTTTTTCTTCCATGGCCCAGGGCAGGAAACTCAGTTCTAGGTTCTAGTCCAGAGTTATTGGCAGTTTTTATCCAGTCTCCATTGTAGGAAGAAAGAGCTCATTTCCAACATCTGCTTTATCTAGGTAGCCTAGTTTCAGCTCCCAGCCTCTCACAGTGTCTAGAGCCTCATCTTCCATCCTCACAAAGTAATTAAAACCTCAACTCCTTCCAAATGAAAGTCCAGATACGGCAACCTCAGGCTGGTGTGATGATCCCATGATGCTGCCGGGGACTCAGACACCTTTGATTTTCCTACTCCATCACCCTCAGGGCATGGCATTTACTTTCTTATTGCACTTCCAGGTGTTCCATCTTTGACATCCCCCCACAACTTCTATTCAGTTTTTTAGAATGGGTTATGATACTGTGATTTATAGTAAGAAATATATTGTCCAGAACCAGATCACATGGTGGCTCCTCCTACAAGGGAAACTGGAGGAACTTTTTGGTGGTCCCTTTCTTTCCCACCAGGAAATAATTGCTATTCTCTTAGTAAGGTAGTTGAATAAGTGGGTATGAAGTTGTTAACTAGTAACATCTGTCACACAGAATGTTATTCATTTAGGTAAAGAAATTGTGGCTCAGAGAGGTATAGTGATTTACAGTTCAGACTTAACTGCACTGACTCCATGTTCTTTCTGCTGAGCGCTAACCACTCTCACTGTGTTCTGACTCAGGGATCCTGGCCTGGATCTTGGCTGCTGGGTTTTCCCTTGTCACAGTGCACTGGCCTTGTGTGATGGATGACAGGGCTGCCTCATTAAGCACAGGGTTTTGTTTGTTCCCAAAGTCCACAGGAGCAGCAGGGCCTTGGGATCTAGGAGCAGGGAAGCTGAACAGGACCGTATCTATCCTGTTCCCCAAGTCCCCTGGCTCTTTCTCAGACAGGCATTTGTTAGCCATGGCAAGAGGGCAGACCCAGTCACTTCCATCTCTCAGCAATTTGGGAGCTGCACACAGGAAGAATAATCACTGGTCACTGGAGAGGGAATTGGGGTTTATCAAGGGCCAGAATGGCTGGGTTTGACATCCATATCTCTTCAGAGTTGGCTGACACCCTCCTTCCCCACAGTAAATGTCTCTTAGCTCTGCCTTATGGTTTTCCTATCATCTTTTACCTGCCAACCCACCTCTCTCTGATTGTCCCTCCACCCCTCCAACTCTCCTGCACCTGCCCTGAATCAGTGGCCATACACTTTTTTTTTTATCCTCAGCCGAGGACATTTTTTTTTGCATGTATCTTCAGATAAAGCGGGAGGGAGAAAGGGAGGACGACAGAGAGAGAGAAACATCGATGTGAGAGAGACACATCGAGTGGTCGCCACCCACATGGCCCCAACCAGGGCCAGGGTCAAACTGCAACCAAGGTATGCGCCCTTAGCGGAAACTGAACCCGGGACTCTCCGGTCCGCAGGCCAACGCTCTAACTGCTGAGCCAAACTGGCCAGGGCAGCCATACACTTTTTTTGATTGATCACACCTGCCTTTCAATGCTGCTCTCCCAGCCCCTTGTAAACCACCCTCTGTACTGGCCACTGACAAGTTTGGTCATGTCACATACACCTCCTTCCCCCTTTTAGATCCTTCCATGGCTCCCTATTGCTTGCATAATAAACAACAAGCTCAGCACTGTAGACCTCAGCTCATTTCTCTGTACTCTTGCTATGCTTGCTATTCAGTTTTTTAGAATGGGTTATGATACTGTGATTTATAGTAAGAAATATATGTTTGGTGCCCTGGCTGGTTTGGCTCAGTGGTTAGAGCGTTGGCCTGTGGACCAATGAGTTGCAGGTTCAATTCCAGTTAAGGGCATGTACCTTGGTTGCAATTCGTCTCTGGCCCTGGTTGGGGTCGTGCGAGAGGGAGCCATTCGATGTGTCCCTTTCACGTCGATGTTTCTCTCTGTTTCTCTCTCTGTTTCTCTCTCTCCCTCTCACTCTATCTGAACAAAAGTGGAAAAATGTTCTTGGATGAGGATTTAAAAAAAAAATTATATATATATATATATATATATACACACACACACACATATATATATATATGTTTGGTCTTAATTTCATACCTAAACCTCTTGGAATTTCCTAAATAATAAGAGCTATAAAAATGTCTTCTGCTGTTCACAACAAGCCCCTTTCACCACACCTGAGTTCATTATGTTAATGAGGTCACTTTTTGGAAAACCTGGCAGAAAGACCAAGTGATTAGAGGATTGGAACTTTCAACTTCACCCAGCCACCCACTTCTGGAAAGGGGCTTTTGGCTGGAAATTAGGCTCTATGAAAACTCTTGAACAACACAATAAGCTTTTGGGTTGGTGAACACACCCACATGCCAGGAGCCTAACACACCCCAGTTCCTTGGTGACGGAACCTCCCGCACTCAGGATCTTTTTGGGCCTTGCTCTGTGTACTTCCTAATCTGGATCCTCATCTATATCCTTTATAATAAACTGGTAAATGTAAGCAAATGTTTCTCTGAGTTGCTCTAGCAAATTAATCAAACCTGAGGAAGGAGTCGTGGAAACCTCTGATTTATAGTTGGTTGTTCAGAAACACAGGCAACAGCAAGGACTTGAGATTGATGTCTGAAGTGGGGAGAAGGGCTGAGCCCTTAACCTGTGGGATCTGATCCTATTTCCAGGTAGATAGTATCAGAGTAGAAATAAACTATAGGACACCCAGTCAATGTCCCCTGAAATTTGGAGAATTTGTTGGTGTTGCTGGAAAAACACCCCAGATTTCAAAAATAAAACTAAAAATACACAAATTAAAAAGTGAAAATATCCAGCTGGTGTGGCTCAGTTGGTTGAGCATCGATCGACCTGTGCACCAAGAGGTCGCCAGTTTGATTCCTGGTCAGGGCACATGCCCAGGTTGTGGGCCCGATCCCCAGTGGGAGGCATGCAGGAGACTGCCAATCAGTGTTCTCTCTCATCGATGTTTCTATCTCTCTCTCCCTCTTCCTTCCTATCTCTCTAAAATCAATATTAAGAAAAATATTTTTTTTAAAGTCACACTTCCACATCCCTCTCAGCTACTCAGTTCTCATCACCCACCATGTTTCTTAGTTTCTTGTTTCTCCTTCCAGAGTTCTTTCTGTAAATGC